TTCTGCATTCCTCTTTCCGTCTTAGTTTTGTGAAAAAAGCCATCTGAAATACCAAACCCCGCAGTGGTGTTAGGTCAAACTGTAATGGCACCCCAAGTAGTCATGTCAAGCTGCCATGTTTTATCTTTACCTGTCAGACCACAGGATGAACCTAATCCAATTAAACAAAGCCACAGCACACAAATCAAAGCCCCCCCCCCCTGGTTGCCTAAGACTAGAGGATCAGAAGAGGATGACTTGACACAATCAATATAAAGCTGAGCATCAATCTGGACTAAAGTATGACAGCTAGCGTCCAAACTGTTCTCAGGTGAGCGTCCCCTCCCCTTCTTTCTTCTCATCCCCTGAAGGGGAATAGCTTACTTAAGGTAACACAAGCTGCCATTAGCCTCCCTGTTTCTCCTGCCCGCCCCAGCCCCATTCCAACCCTCTTCATTTGTCCACCTCTCCTCCAGTGCTATTTAAAGGAAACCCTTTAAATACACCAGCAGTCCTGCCAGTGTGTGAGACAGAGACACCCAGGCGCTCTGCTGCAGAGGTTAAAACTCATTTATTTGGAATTGTATTTCCCCCTTTTTCCTTAAATTCCAAAAATCATATGCTGATAATCTTTATGTAAACTTGTGGTTCATAAGGTTTTATGCACATATTAGAAAGAAAAGTAGTACTATGTTTGTTGTCATTTGCGAAAGAAGATAGATATTAAAATAAGTCCATTTATCTCAACATAATTAAAAGCCCTCAACCCGAATGAATGATTTGACTGTGCTGAGCCAAAAAGTAGTTAAACGTATTCATGATTAATGTGATTATGAAGTAAGATGGGGGATTTTAAGTAATATCATAAACTACTATTTCAAGGGCAAGAAAACTGTAAAATTGGCCAAATGCACCAGCTCCTCTCCTCCTTTAAAACTATTCCAGTCTTTCCACTGCTGCTCTCTTCTTGAAATCTCTCTGGACTTTATATCTGAGCCTCCCTGTCATCATCACGAACAGCAACATTACATAACCACTACGCAGCCACTGCTCTCTCACACACAAATACAATGCCGAATGAAATGACACAAGCTTAACAAAGCTTAAACATGCAAGAGATTATTGCCAAAGAAGGTGGAAAGGTGATTCAAAAACTGAGCTAAATACATTTTAAAAGCATACAACAACAAAAAACGTTCCTGCAAATCATTAAAAGGGTGTGCACTTTATAAAATGTGATTTTTTTAAGGTTATATTGTTACATCATTGTATATATTGTTTGAGTGCATCCATTTGCCAAAGTCAGGCAATCAGGTTACCATGTTCAACATCTGGAGTTTGAAATCATTCCAGATCACAATGTTAAGCATGTTTTGTCACAGTTAATAGTCAGTTTGCAATTTTTTGTGCCATACCTCCTCAATGTGGCTTTTTTGTTTGTTGCTTAATCTTTATTTCTAAGTTTGTCACAGCAGTCTGACTGTCCTTACCCTGGAGATGGTGAGTGGCATGTTGAAGTCCTTTCCTCCGTGTAGTCTGAAGCCCCATGGAGCAGGGCCATTCAGAGTCACTGTGTACGAACTCATCTTGGGTCAAACGTCAACACTCCTCCCGCTAACAACTCCTGCTTGCTGTGTGTTTTCTCCTCCTGGTGCTGTGTTCCCGTCCTCCACTGATATCCTTTTGTCCCGGTCGGCCTCGGTGGTAGCTTCTTCTCCGTCAGGCCTGGCTTATCTTCCTGTCTGCTCCCAGCTCTCAGGACAAACACCCAGGGGTGGTGTTGGTGTGGGGTGGGTTGGTCAGGTGCTGTGGGACCTCTGTGACACACACACAGGCATGCATTGGTGCACACAAATACACATACGTGAAGATAGTCATACACAGAAAGCAAGTGCAGAGCAAAGTTGAGCTACTGAAGAACAACAGTACATATTTTCTGATTAGACCATCCTCAATTTCAAACCAAAAATGCCCTAAACAAACCTCAAAGTTTAGAAAGTGCAAACTCCAAAAGGTCAACTTTAAAGTTAATAACAAGAGAGAAGAGTTTCTTGCCTGCAGAGTTGCTGAGGGCGAGGGACAGACAGCCTAAGAATAGGCGAGGTGAGCATAGACACAGAGGCCCTGGCCCTTATAAGGCTTGTAACCCGAAGCCCCAGAATGCTTCACTGCCGATTCACATCGCCAATATAGACCCCTCTTACTGCAACACATTCTCCCTCTCTCTTTCTCCCTCTCTTAGTGCTATCAGTTCATGCTGCTAGCATCCTATTATCTATAATCAGCCTCTGTGCACTGATGTCACACGCTTTTCACTTTTCGAAATCATTCATTCTGCTCGAGAGAAGGAAACAACAAATTACCCAGCTGTTACCCTGGAAACACTCGCACGAGGCTGCTCCTGTTTTGTCTGCGTTTGTGTTAACGTGTGTGTATAAGCAATTCAATTAGCAACTAACCAGAGCAGTTAAGGTCAAGTGAACATTGACACTGTGTGACAGATCCTGACAGACTTTTCTTTCTATTCATATTCCGATATATCAGACAGACACTGAAATTGAGAAGTTTGTGCACCTGTGTTATTCAAAACACCTGATTTGACAGAGATATAAGAGATGGCCTTTGATCCCTGAGCAGGTTCGTAATGATGACACACTTGAATAGCTTTTCTGGTTTCACATTTATACTTGTTTCTTTGTTGCAGAGGGTTATGGCGGATAAGAAGATGCCACTGTCCGCTAGTCAAAGCAAAGACTGTAAAATTAGCTTAGCATAACAAAATCAAAGGGGAACAGCTAGTTTGTCTCTGTCAAATGTTGAAAAAATGTGTTTGCATTAATCATTTGTCCCTTTTGTTTGTGCAAGCAATATAAGATGTTTGTGCTAAGCTAATAGACTTGTAGTTTCAAAGTTGTTGTAAACACATGAAACAGGTCAATCTTCTCATTTGAACTTTAAAGTGGACCTATCCTGCTATATTTGAAACATATATTGTAGGGCCATACCTATAAGTTTTTTTTTCAAAATACCAAACAGATCATGCATTTTAGCCATGCCTCATTTCGCTCTATTTGCTCTTTTCCAGCCCTGTTTTTGCAGGGCTGATTCTGCTTTTGTGGCAGACTACAGCGCCACTTACAGGCCTGGCATATGTACTACAGCGTCTCCAGCGCTTTCGAGCGGTCTCTCATTCCCCTGATAGGTGGAGAGTTGCCCATATAGGCGGAGCACCCCTTTTCTGACATCAGAAAAATTGAAATAATAATCAGCTCCGTTGCAGCCCCGTTTTTAGAGATTTGGGTATGGAGGAAAAGAGAGAGGGTTGTGTTTTCTGACACTTGGTGAGTTCCCTGACACACCGGGGACACATATTCATGTATAAAAGACGTACAAAAGTGCATTTTGCATGATAGGTCCCCTTTAAATTAAGTTTCCATCAACCTATTTAGCATTTAAATAGCCACAGGAATTAAAGGACCCGCTGTCTTATTTTTATTTTAAACATCCTGCAGCGACAGCCTGAATGAAAAAGGTCAACCTCTGTTATCAGAAGAGTTATGCAAGGATCACTTGAGCCTTATCGTAGGCCCTTACAATAACGGTCCTACGACAATCACTTCGTTGGCCACTTTGACAGCCTGTTTTTAATCCCTGGGTTTGATTCAAAGGATGAACCCGGGCACAATTGATCATGAAACAAACGGAGAAAATACAATGAGGGCAGTAAGAAGGTAGTATTGTTTTTCTCAAAGAAAATAAATAACTAAAGGCATAAACAAATCAAAGCGCCAGTGCATACCAAGAGTAGAGACACCATTTAATTAATAGAGTACATTAAAACAGATTAATAATAATAACAATGATAATAATAATAATAATGTAATGTCTATCCTTACGTTCGCTTGAAGTTTGATTGATAATTGTTGAAGTTTAGTGAGCTGATAAATGGAGAATCTTCCTTCCTTGGTTATAATCCTAACAGAGCAGACGGAAGTTTGAGACCCATATAAAAAGCAGAAGTTCTAGTAGCATTATAAAATATTACATTTCTCTGTTAAACTTCCCGGATGGAATATAACTTATTACATTTACTTAATAATGTACTTAAGTATACATTTGAGGTAGTTTTGCATTATTTTAAGATTGGTACATTGTATATAATGTTTTTGCACTACATTTATCCTAGAGCAGCAGTAACTATACAGATCAAGATTTAAAATACAACATTTAGGAGGTGATAAAATATGTTGCACTGTTAAAGATTAAAATACCAAACAGTATAGTAGTATTTAAAATGAGCTCTCCCTCGAGCAACCCTGACCCATAAGTATAACGCTCCTGAGACATTAAATATCATCAATAATATTCCAATAATATGCAATTTGAAGCAAACTTGAATTTGAGACAACATGTGGGAATACCATGGATGTATAATAAGAACACACCCTCTGCTGATGTTAACAGAGTACCAACACTCACCTCTGCAGGGCGGTATTTTGTGCTGTGGTTCTGCACGGATTCCTATTCAAGCCAATCATCATGCAGGAACACTTTCCATCACATCTGCTCTTTGAAATATCGGACACTGACCCCCTGCTATCTGACAAAGACTGACATCACGGTGTCCCTGCTGTTATCTGCTGTGCTAGATGGATGTCTTCCTTTCAGGAAACGGACATGATGAAAACACTGGTCATGGATACTGATGGACAGATCAGTTCATTCATTATACGACCCCAATGCGTATGGTTCTGTAATTTAATGCGTGTATGTGAATATATATGTTAGCGGGGCGAGAGTTTAGCTTTTTTCCAACAAATACTACCACTGTGTGTGTCTCTAGAGAAGCAAAGAATATTGAAGACTACTCTACTGCACAAGTGAGTGGTGAATCTGAATTAATAATTTAAAAAAGAACATGTATGATTAATTAATAGTGGAAATTATCATAAGTTGCAGCCCTAGCCTGATACATGGTTAGTTCAATACATGAAGACACCATCACTTGTACAGAATGTCTTAAACATTTATTGTTTAGAAAAATAAATAATAGTAGCAACACAAAACATTTTGTACAAAATCAACATGAAACCATCACTTCATTTAAGCAGAATTCAAATGTCATTTATATATACAGTATATTTTATATTTGTTTGGTCATAAAAGTTTGTACATTCATTTATAGGAAATGCAGGACAAATGAGCAGCGGTGGGATTGTATCCCACATTTGTTGCCTCATTAACTAATATTTGTATACAGTTACAGTTTCATTTAATTTAAAAGAACAATTATTACAATCATAGTCAATGATGCAGCAATCATAGGAATGTCACTTAGAACGGTAATGTACAGAAGTGGAGAAAGAGCTTTGGATATGTAACATAATCCTGAAACCACACTCTAATATTTAAAAAAGTAATGTAGCTTACCGTCATCAGCATATCTAATAGTAGATATTAAAGCAAGGTTTGGCAATCATCATAGAAATACTAGAACAGTGTCCAGTTCTTCACACTCATATTCACATACTTACTTACAAAGTATTGGGTGATGTACTATAGACCTGATCTGTGGTACTGAATGTTACCAGCGACGGGACAACAACTGACACAGAGCCAGAATTAAACTTATATTAAAGCTGCATTAAGTGTTTGTTGACCACAGTTTCTTCTTCTAGTCATCACAATGATTAGCAGTGTTGTCTACAGGTTGATTTGAATTACTGTTATATTAGAATCTGCTGCATTGCAGATAGGAGGGTTTGCTTCATTTTTGATGAATGCATCACCCCAAGGAGACATTTAAGTCAATCTGACATTCAACAGTTTTCCAACATGACTTTTCTTTCGAAAACAATACATAAAACAGAAATACACAAAAGAAAACAACATGATAAAAAAATCGACATGTGTGCTATACCTGAATACATTGGATTTATGGTAAACAAAGGTGGCAAGCAAAACCGCTTACACATACACGTCCCAGGGCGCCGTAAGGGGGTGAAAAGTTAGGACATTCTATTTTAGAACATTAGAAAAAAATGTTTAAGTAACCGATGTGATATATTTTTATGGGGCCCAAAATCCCTGGCGGCGCCCTTGCGTCTAGTATAAACGGCACCACACATGAGCATCCAAATAAAGTTCACTTTCTAGCCAGATTTTAAATGTACATCCAGTACTTTACTATCATTTCAGATCCTGAGAAAAAAAAAGTGTTGATAATTTTTAAAAAGATACTCGTTTACTCCAACTCTCTTCACATTGTGCGAGGCCAGTTTTGCTAACTCCTGTAACTGGAACTGCCTCACAGTTGCATTTTAAATATCTGTATTTACAGTATATTCTCATATGATTAGGTACCGATTAAAAACTAAAACTCAAACCAAGATAAATGTTTGCATTGAGTATCAAGGATTTGTACTTATTTGTGAAATCATTTAATTATAAGAAAAATAAATTGAATAAATAGCATGCTTTTAAAATTAAATGAATGGACAAACCATATACCTACTGCGTTTGTTAAAATTGCAAGTTATGTATGCTTTAACCTATATAGTGTTTACATATGGATCATAAATGACCTTTTTGATAACCCCAGTTGTAGTCATATTGCCCCAGAATTAGCTTGTGGTTTGTTAACAGTAATATTTTTAACTAAGCAACAACTTCCAGGTCTTAAAAGTGAAGCCAATGTCGAAGATCCTTAAATTAGATTCTCTTTAATATACAGCAGCCAGCATCTGTTATCATTTTCCTGACAGGTTGTAATTCTTCTTTTATAAAGCATGATGTTAATTTTGTAAATGAATCCCCTCTAGATATAAAGAGACAATGAAGCAGCATATGCGTTAGGGCTTGGCAACCTGAAAATGTAGTCCCATTTTGTTTTCCAGTCTCAGTGCTCTCTATGTTTTTGTCTTAAACCTTTTCCAAAACATATTTTGGTTTCTTCTTCTCAAACATTATGACGAGAATCTAAACCAACAATCAGAACCGATGTAAGACCCAACCCTTCAGGTTTCACTTTTAACATTGTCTTCTTATGGCTAATTTGTTGCTTCTGGCTCCAAAATACACCATCACCTTGATATGTCGAAATAAGTAAAACGCACATATGTGTGTGCAAATACCTATCTAAATGAACTTGAAATACAAAAATAAATAAAGAGCATGCTCTGCTTCTGAGTTTCCATAACTGGCACAGTTGAAACAAATAGACCGGCACACCAAGTAGACATGTTTTTGACGCTGTATAATGTATCAAACACAAGGCCTTTCCTCAAACTTTAAATCTTTTAAATATTACTTTGATCCAGTTCCCATTCTATCAGGCACTGGGATGTGTGCGTGGTTTTTAGAAAAGAGGTTCTTAACATAACTAGCAAACGGCTTGCTGGAAAATAAAACTCCTTGAGAGTAAAATATTGAAACACACACATAGGTACACACTGTTGTTGCACTTCTGTTCAGCTGTCTATGGTAATGCAGTTGTCTCCATCCTGGCTATGTCAAGGGGCTCCTTGACAACCAGGCTGTACCTTTTGGTCAATTTAAAGTCGCCATGGAAACCTGAGGGACAATGCAGTATAGCCGGGCTGGATATGGATGTTACAATGGCGGATGGCGTTGTCGTATACGCAATCCTTGGCCCAGACTCCTCCATCCCATTGTCCAGCTGTGTGGGCAAAGGAATGGAGAGAGAGAGATGTTCAGGTATTGAGAGAGGCTCGACATGTCAAATGTGAGCAATGGGATGGATGTTTGTATGAATGAGAAATTATCAAAGATGGAGGTGAAGGGAGAGAATTAACTTAACTGTTCTGATGCTGTTATTGTGATGAAAACAACTCTCCAAAGAAATCACAACTGACTGAAACGCCTAGTTGGCATAAAGAAAACCTGGAGCAGTTTCATAAGAAACAAACCTATGAAAATACATCTCACTTAAAGACTGGACATTTAAAGCTCCAATGTATGAGCTAAATTAGACGTTTTCTACAGGTGTTATAGGATTCATTAATTGCAAAAGATTTCTTTGGATTCTTTTTCAAACAAAAGACACTACATTTACTGCAAAGAGCATGCAATGCACAATTGTGGTCTCTTACAGTAGCAGGCTGATGACTGGTGGGCTGCAGGCCGATGTCTGTCATGGAGATGTCTTCAGGCTCTGTCAGCGTCTGAACAGTACCCAAAGAAACACAGCTATTAAGTTAAAGTTGAGATTAAAAAAGTGATATACTATTAAAGCCACATTCTGTTCAATCAAAATCAACTCCAAGTCGACTTTTGAACAAAGCTGTTCAGAGACAAGCATCCCTTTTGAAATGTAGATCATGTTGTTTGCTCCCATAGCAACAATCTCCTGTGCTAACAACAACAGGTTTAGCATTATCATTGAAAAAGGGGACACTCACAATCTCATGATTACATTACATTGCATTTAGCTGACGCTTTTATCCAAAGCGACTTACAATAAGTACATTCGACCAGGAAGACACAACCTTGAAGAAAACAGAATCATATAAGTACATCAGGTTTCATAGAGCCAAACATTTCAAGTGCTACTCAACTGGCTTTAGGTAAGCCAGTCCTTTATTAGTATAAAAGTGCTTCGTTAATAGTTCTAACGCTCGAAGTGGAGTCGAAAGAGATGAGTTTTCAGTTTGCGCCGGAAGATGTGCAAGCTATCTGCTGTCCTGATGTCAATGGGGAGCTCATTCCACCATCTTGGAGCCAGGACAGCAAACCCACGTGTTTTCGCCGATGGGAACTTGGGTCCCCCTCGCAGCGAGGGCGCAACGAGTCGTTTGGCTGATGCAGAGCGTAGTGCACGTGCTGGGGTGTACGGTTTAACCATGTCCTGGATGTACGAAGGGCCAGATCCATTCGCAGCATGGTAAGCAAGTACCAGTGTCTTGAAGTGGATTCTAGCAGTTACCGGAAGCCAGTGAAGGGAGCGGAGGAGCGGAGTGGTGTGGGAGAATTTAGGAAGGTTGAAGACCAGACGAGCCGCTGCATTCTGGATGAGCTGCAGAGGTCGGATGGCACATGCAGGTAGACCAGCCAGGAGGGAGTTGCAGTAGTCTAGGCGTGAGATGACGAGAGCCTGGACCAGAACCTGAGTCGCTTTCTGAGTCAGCTGGGGACGTATCTTCCTGATGTTCTTGAAACACACTGAGTTATACAAAGTAATATATAGTTTGACATTTAGGGAATGTCCTCATTTGTCTAGTCATCTCTGTAGGGTTGCCTGGCAACAAATAAGTTATAAAATGTTAATGCATGGGCTGTTACGGTAGCAGATTTTCTCCTTTTTGGACAGAGCCAGACTAGCTGTTTACCACTGTATCAAGTCTCTATGCTAATCTAAGCTAACAAGCTGTAGCTTCATATTTAGCTTCAGACATAGGAGAAGAATCAGTTATATCATCCAACGGTCTGCAAGAAAGATAGTTTTTTTTTTTCAAAATATCAAACTTGTATCTAAGTGTCAGGTATTAAACAACTTTAGAGGTTTCGGTAAAGAAGAAAAAAAAACAATGATTTGATAGAAATAACAGATACAAATCAGTTAAAATGAAGACCAAATAATCCAGAAATATAGCAAAGTAAACGTTGAATTTATCACAAAGAGCGTGTCAGTAGAAGTACACTGTCCACATTGATGACTTTGTTAGCAAGAGTAAAGCAGGTAACCAGAGATTATAGACAAAGGAAAAATGTAAGCCTCCATCCTTTGCTCTGAGCAGAGATGGAAGCAGATGGAGTTCAGAGACTCCTCGACAATCATCCGTCTTCGTCTTCAACAAGTGCAGTCGTTGAAACACGGGGCCACATCATGCAAACTGCAGATTAAGTCTGAAACTCCCAGATTATTGGATTAGTCCCTCTGTAATGGAGTCCTGCACGGCAGTACGGCATGTGTGTGTGTGAGAATACGTGCATACTTGTGGGTTATTTTAGGTTTTACAGTGAACTAAGATGATTACACGGTGACGGAAATGCTCCATACTGTATATTGGATGTCCCACATAAAGTGACCTGTCCATCAGCCTGAATGACGCAAACATGTGCCAAGTAGCATTGTTCTTATATATAGTGTTGCGTGTTACCAAGCATTGAGATGTAGATTATGTTCAAATGCTAAACGCTATATGTTATAAACTAGGATCTTTCCAATTATCTTTGCACAATATTCTTCATTGCAGAAACTCAACTTGGTTCACAATTAGCTTTCTCATTAACGGCCATCAAACACTGGATCTTAAAACCTTCTCTGACTTTTCACTATTTTTGAGTGCAAAATAAATTGATATTGGGGCAACCAGTCTTGCCAACATTAATTTAACTCTAATTTGAGATGTTAGTTTAAATTAATTGTAAAGTTATCGTCATATTGACAAATGTACTAGTATTTATATTTTACACATCTGTATTTTTTTTTTAATCATAAAATGTTTTAATGTTTGTTGATCGTTATGCCTGTCTGCAGATGGAAATTCGTTTTTAGATGTAATCTGGCATATAGCATCTCTTCTCTTTGAGATCAATGTATTTGTATGCATGGTACTTGTTCCATAAAGATGTAATAATAATAATAATAATAATAATAATAATAATAATAAGAAGAAGAAAACTGTCACTCACAAATGTGATTTCTCATGTTTCAAAGAAATTCAAAATGTAATAATTTGTATTAAGTGAAAACAAAGGTGATGATTCAAGTCACATAGCTGGTGAATGAACAGCTTGCATCTATTAGCAGTTGAAAGGGAGATCTTAGTGCACGGCCTAGAAGTGTTAAGTCTAAGATAATGTTTCGCTGCTTGTCAAAAGGGCTTAGTCAGTTTTGACAGACTTGTAAGGAATTGAAGGTATTTAACCTCTGCAGGGTCGTTCACACCATGAGAGTTGTTAAGGTGCGTAGTCCACCTTGCTGTCATGTGTAACCATGACACATGCCACACGAGTCGAAGTTTGAAAAAAATATAGGACAGAGCTTGTTTGCACCCCATGTTGTGTCAAAAGTGTGTAAGGGGTGTCATGGAACAATGGGGAACTCCAGTTCGAAACCCGCTCCCGCCCCACTGCGTCAGGCCGTTGTGTCCTTGGGCAAGACACTTCACCTGAATTTGCTCCTGTGGGTATTGTCCACAGTAGATGACCATTACATGTATGATCTGTATGTGTAATGTGTATTTGTAAAGCGCTTTGAGAGTCTTTGATAAAGCGCTATAATAAATATAAGGATTATTATTATTATTATTATTATGGAGAGGAGAGATACACAATGTTATTTACATATGTGGAGAACAGACACAATTTTCAAACGGTCTCTCCTGGAAGTCATTTATATCTTATCTTATGTGTAAGCTTTTCGAGAAAGAAAAGTCAAACATAACATACAACTTCACCTAAACTGGTTTTGAATTACACACAGCTGACTGATGAGGTGGGTGTACATTTGGATTGTTGGTTTTGCAACGTAACAGAAGTGATCGGACACAGCTTCTTAAGCCCCACGGACCCGCCGAAGGGGCCGAAACCACAACATCTGCAAGCAACAGTGTCTGAGGGCTTCTTAAGATGTAATAAACTATGAATGTTTCATATCCATGTAACGGGAAGAAATTCAGCTAACTGATCATTTTTTGTTTTTTTCAACAACAAAAAAACACAAAGCTAACGCTGAGCCTCTAAATTAGCCACGAGCGAAAAATGCTAAAGGCGGTTCCACAGAAAACACGTGTAGTTCCAGTAATCCAACATTTGATTCACAGGTAGCAAATAACTTGACTCGGACAAGATACATCTCAGGATAGTTTGTTTGACTCTTTACTTATACAAAAGATATCAAATACAAACAAATTTTTTCTCAGCTCAAAAACGATGTTGCTCTGTGCTTCTTTATCCTTCTCACACACACAATCACAAGCACTGCCGTCGGCTATAACGTCTCGTAATCACAAACAGCTGCGGTCGTCTATGCCGTAAATTTCACATGGCTGGTTCAAATACATGAACCAGCACTAACAACAAAGGATTATAATCAGGGCTGCACATAACTGGTGCGCAGGTGCGCATGCACGATATGAACTCAGGGCCGGCCCGTAGCGCTGGCGTAATAGATGTTCGCCTAGGCGCCAGATCTGTGGAGGCGCTGCGCTGGCAGTTTTGGGAGGGAAAAACATTTTTTTGACCGTTGGGGCTCATCCTAATTTTCGGCCTTGATGTAACAATATTCACAATTAAGTAAATGTACACCCTTTTCACCCCGGTTACACGTTTCATTTGCCCTGTACGATGGGCGCTGTAAGTGATGAAAATGGGGGATGTTGGCTTATCTGGCAACCGCAGCTCACAGCCAAAATGCGAGTGAGCGTGGGAGCGATGGAGGGTGCACCGGTACCGGCGCTGTTATTAGAATCTGGTGCTAGCTGCTTTAACGGATATAAGAAGAAGATGTTTCCAGAATAATGTGGAGAGAGAGTCCTCTCCAGTCAGACTGAGAGGCTGATAACTGCAGCTCAGTGAGGTAAAGTAATCTTGAGTGTTTAGATAGTTAACTTTAGTCTAAGTTCAAACGATTTGGTCACAATTTATGTAAACACATATTTCCAAGGCACTCCTTTATAATTATTGGGATAAACAGGTTTGAAATCATTCCAATGTATACTATAGGACAGTAACCAAAAATATCCTTTAAAACTGGAGAGATACATTTTTAAAAAAAAAAGGTAAAATAAGATATGAATGAACAACACAAATAAAATAAGTTACATCCATTTGTTATTGGCTATGGTAGGTTATTGGTTATGTTCACATACTTATTTGATTACATCCACTTGTCTAAGATGACAACAGAGACTTTCGACCCAAACCCAGCTGTTGACTTGTGGATGCAAGCATCTAATCGCAGACTCAACCAGAGAGAAAGAAGTAGGCCTACATCATCAGCTACCATGTCTGACAGAGAGGAAGACAGAGAGGAGAACAGTCAGGAGGGTAGTGATGACAGCTTGTAGGATTACTGGTCGTGCTAATGTTGTCTTGTGTTCACCACTGCATGTGTGTTCTGTGTTCACCTCTGCATGTGTGTTCAGTGCCGTGTGTCTGGCAAATAAAGTCAAGACCCCCTCAAAAGTTACGGTTTATTTCATTTTAAGGATGAGCACCAAGCAACATCTCCAGGTGCTCCTTTGAGAACCAGGGCAAAAAAGTTATGTGCACCCCTGATTATAATATTCAAATATATCAAACTATACATTTTAACATATGGCTCCTCGTATATAACACCGTTATTACTTATCGTAACTGCACATCCAACCCATCGATTAGCATCGTGAGTAGACACATAATCGATAGGGAGCCTATATTTATCATCACTCAATGATTGAACTCGCAAATTTATTAACAAAAACAGACATCAAAACATGTGGCGCTAAGTAGCAAAAACGGGAATATGTCTTACCTCTGTTGTTGTCTGATCAAAAGTTGTCTTCAATGGCATTAAAACGATAAAAACGCTGCTGAAGGTTAATCCATAGGTTAATCCAATGTGTCTGTGTCACTTTGAAATGATTTCTGATAATCCATAAGCAATAAACCTACTTTTCCGTTTTAGGATTTCAGAGGGTGAGACAGGTTTCAATTTGGGGAAACTGCATGCGCGAAGCCCCACTTTTTTTTGGGTAACGTTGGTGTGTATTTGGAAATTCCCCTTCGATTCTATTGGCTCTAACGGTTAAAAAGAGATGTCAATCATAAAAATCGACCAATGGGTTCCAGAGAAACGGCAAACACGCCCATTTCCACCCAAATCACCCCAGAGGTGGAGTTTTCTTTGCTAAACCTCTCTAAAAAGGTCAAATGTCATTTGATTTGCATCAATCTTGATACAGGGTACTTATTATATGTTGTACTTTGGATTCCTAAAGCTTTTAGTCTACTAACCCATGATCCAAGGGTAGTTTTCACTATAAGTAAAAAATTTTTTGGACAGACACTATAATTTACAGTTTTTTACGATGTTCAATCTGAATTGTCTTTAAAATAAGAAAAATCGATATTGATTCTGACTTTTCTACATCCAACTCACAGGTTTATCATTACTTTGAGAAAAAGATTATTAATTTCCCCTTTTAGAAGTGTAGTTATGGTCATTTGTTCTGGAAATGTAATTTTCGGCCTGAGACCTGAAAAACAGGCTTGGGGCTTAACAGGGTAAAGGATTCAGGGAAAGCATTTTTCAGAGCTGAATCTGATTCTGAACAAGCAAAACCTGACCCTAAGTCAGAACTAAAGAAGCCCTTAGGATAAAAGGTGAAAAACCATTAACCTCTTCTAAACATACTCAAACATGGGTGAAACTTGATACAGAGATACTTGCTAGTTTAACTCTGGAGTTGTGCATTGTAATCATATGAACAATTGAACTGTTTTTAAAGGGTTAAAATAATGTAAACAAAATAGGCATTAACCAGACACCTAAAAAGACTTAGGTCATGAAATCCAAACGCATGACCTTAAAGCAGCATGACTGCTTTAGATTACATGCTGGGGAATCCTGTTTCTAACCACGAGGAGGCTGGATTATAAGAGGGGCTCGGACCGTCATGGCCTCATAGAGTTACTCGCCATGGAATACCAAGCATAAACATGACGTCTATTGACTTTAACAGGGCTCCAAAACAACATGACCTCACTTATCAAATTCAGGAGGAGAAGATTAAATACGCCTTGACTTAATGACAAAACAGAAGCAGAACCTGCCATTAAAGACATCATGAAACTAATGTGAGAAGATTCACACTGAGGCCTAAATGACAAAGTATGTAAGTAACAGTATGTCGACATATAGCAGGCCCTGATACTTACTGTGATCTGTGAGAGGTTGCATATGGCTGGGTCAGTGGGGTTGTGGGCGGCAGTGCTTTCAAACTCTCCTGTGTTTCGACCTCTCACCTTTGACCTCTTGTTGGCATGGCGCACCTGTTTGGTATCACCGGACAACTGGAAAATGTCAGGCGTTCGAGACGACAAGTCCTCCTCAGTGTCTGAGAAGCGGGCCTTTGAGGCAACACATCGAGGGAATCACACACAAACAAGACTAAATTCAGCAACTGGTCATTCAAAGCATTTGTCATTGGAAGTGTAAGACAGAGACATACCAGATTAGATATGAAGTACACTCACTGATTCGCTCTCAGTCAGGGAGGAGTTGCGAAGCCTGCTGGGGCCTTTGCTCTCTGATTGGCTGGTGACGGTTGATCGGCGGGTGGACTGGAAGCTACTGCTGGTGAAACGGTCTCTGCCAGTAACACACAGCAATACCCCGAGGTAAGGAATATACCTGCCGAGCGCTGACCTGAGGGTGAGTTGGACAGAAATACTCAAATCCATAATTGAAAAGATTTTATTATATGAGAGAGACAAGTAAAGCTCCCTGACATTCACGGATGTTGAGCTGAATTTCACAATTTAACTAGGATTTTAAAAATAGCAATACATTATCTCCGTCTATGAAAGAATAAAATAATGTAAATTGAGTTATAAGGGGAATATAATTAAAGTTGCTGTACATGATCAGACTCCATATAGCCTGATCCTAACAAAGAAATCCACCTAGAACTATAAACAAAAACCTCATTATCTCCTAATAAATCCATCTTAATCGAACACAAAACAAGGCGCTAAAGAAATTATGGCAGAAGAAAAAGAAAAGTGCACCAACCAGCAGTGTTATATCGTCAAGGGAAGGTGGTGCTTGAATAACTTAAATGTAAAAATAAACATCAACAAATGTAACTCTTGCTTGACTTTGAATCCATTAATTCATCTTGTACGATGCACACTGTAATTAATAATATTATTCCATTTATGTATTTGTGCTTAGCTTAGATTGGCTGGCCAGATCAGCATTGATTAATCTGATAAATATGTTCCAGTTTAATTAAATGATCATGAGGTCATTAGAAAATAGAAATGAGAAAATGTCAGGAGATAGTGAAAGTGTCCATGCCAGTTTCTGAAAGACCAATGTAATGTCTTTCAATGTCTTTTTGTTATCAATCTGAACACTTGAGTGTGAATCCTACCTGTATTTGGGATGTGTTATGGCATATATGATAGGGTTGTGGATTGCAGATGCCTTGGCGATCACAGCAGGAACCGAGTGCATGTACGGAGTCAACATGTCAGCGTGCCTGAGAGAGACAGGAGAGATGTTGGACACAAGGAAGACACATTTATTTGACGAGGGCAGGAGTGGGTGCGTTTTCTACTACAGGATTTGTGAAGAGAAACAGGATTGGCACACGCAAACAGCCACATAATGTTCAAATCTGTATTGTTACTGACTTAACACCGCAGCATAGGAACATCCAATCAATAAAGTCCTCACACATTGTTAAACAATCCTACCTTTAAATCAAAGCATATGTCATGATTATATATTGTCATTTAAAATGTTCCTATTCCAATTTTGATGTAGCTAGAAGGTTCTTAGTTGTTATCGTAATATTTTTACATCACTAGATAGTACAAAATATCTCCTCAGTGGTCACACACACACAAACCCACCTACCCAGCAAATGCAGTGAGGGCAGCACACGAGTAAGGGGCCCAAGAGATGACGTATAGCAGGATGACGATGAGTGCGATCTTTGCCATCTTCCATTCAGTCTTCATCTTATTGAACTTCTTTGCAGAGTCTCTGGTTCCCTGACAGTTCATCTGTGTTATCGCTCTGTCAAACACAGACACATTAGTAATAAAGCTTTATTTTGAGTTGCAATATAATTTGTATTTTTAAATCAAATGTGGCATTTTTTCAGAAAAACTGTATTAGATTTAGCTTTATAGATTATTTATTTGGACATAGAGGATTTTTGAATGACAGTTATTGTACTTGCATGCACATACAATTTGTATTGCAACTTGACACATTGTTAATCAAAAACATCAATATCAACACAATGCTTGTGTTTTTAATCATGCATGTGGAAGTCTTTGTCTGCCTTATTACAGGAAAATCAATGTGTACATGTACAGACCTGGTTGTGTGTCGGATGGCTCTGAAGATGCAGAAGTAGCTGAATATGATGATGAAGAGAGGGATGAAGAAGACGAAGATAAAGAGCAGCATGGTGTAGGAACGGACAGAGGGAGTAAATGTCATGTAATCCCAGGAACAGGACGTCATCAGACCTTCTGGGACATAAGCACCTGTGGGAGAGGAAAACACATTTTATTGAATCGGACAATTTCTATTTGTCTGGGATTCCACCAAGTGACACGTAGTAGAGCATTTTGATAAAAATCCATGTTCTTTCTTGTTAAGATTTACAATATAAATGCTACTTCAAAAACTCTCTGTTGAGTATAAAACTACAGCCAGGAGACGGTTAGTTTAGCTTAGCTTAAAGACTCGAATGAGGGGTAAATAGCCGGCTGTCTTAAAGTGAGGAAAATAGCAAAAATAAATGATATACTATCAGTTTAAATTGGTTCATAATGCTCACGACAGTGCAAGGGATTTAACTTGATGGAGTAACCCAGGGCTCTATGCTCGGCAGGGTTGCCAACTTTGGGTACCTGGCTGGAGTGAGATTTTGATATCATGGGTTTAATTACACTATGCACAAATGACTGCTATCGTGTCAGCAGCGGGACCTTAGCATATACAGGATATATATACAATATATACAAATACACAATATTGGACACAGACTATAAAGGACACACAGTTTCATTCACTAATGAAAGTCAACACATGTTTGTTTCCACTGTTTTATTATGTGCCTGTCGCGATAAGAAATTAATTGACTTATCGTAGGATAAATAAAAATGAACTCGATAAATTGCCATTTACATGAGGATGTGACTAGCCGTTTGAAAGGATGTACTTGAATTATTATTATATATTACTATGTCAGTGGTCTAAAATGGTCATACAACGGTGCCGACAATAATTTCCGGGAAAATGTATCCAACAAAATTAATTATCGTGAGAGGCCTATGAAACACACACACAAACAAATCTACAGACTTACTCCAAACTGCCAAATATATTAATTAACACACTCTCACTCTCATATACTCTTTGACTCTATTTTGGCCTAGAACAATAAGCAGCAGACTTTTACTTTTTTTCTAATTTCTACTGGATTTTAGATCTGCGCATGCGCAATACGGGTCGGCAGTTGGGGCTCCAGAGTATTTGTGTTGGGTAATCTATGGTAGGGCTAACCCATACAGTGGTGGGGCTCAAGTCAGTATTTGCAATATAATTACATACACGCTCCCCTTGACAGTGAAACGCCACGCGTGAGGTTTAGATTATTTCCCTGTCTCAATCCAAATTGAACTGTATGAAATAAAAAGGCACATCTGTCTTGTAGTAAATAAAAAGGGCGACCTGGAGCCAATCCTGCAATTTTTTTGAGATTTTTTGAAATACTAACATAAAATACACATTCTGGTACTCTCTTGAGAAGAAAAATAAATAAATCTATTACTACACGACATATTTAAAAAAATGAATGCCATTTTAGTTTTTTGTTACTTTGTTCTGAAAGCTGAACCTGCTGCTCCTCACAGAGAGAAGAGGAAAGAGGCTGTGAATTACTTTACATTGTGGATAAGGGTGGATAGCCCCCATTGTTCTGTGTGTCAAAATGAAAGACAGCCCACACACCTATCAATCATCAAACCGTGGGTCTTATTTCATTACGTGTTGATTTCTATCAACACGTATGTTGTATCGATGTAGAGATGTACTACAGCAAAAGTATTCTCCGTCGGGACTTCCTGCAACAACACCACGCCGTTATCTTGATTCTGATTGGCCAGAAGACATTATCAAAGATGTTCTATTGAGAAGACGATCACTACGTGACAAAACCGTTTCTAGTCTTCGGTATTCTTGTTTTTGGCGTGAGAATAGTTTGGGCAGCGTGAGAGCGTGAGATTGAGAGTGAAAGCGTGTGTCACACGCCAGATGCGTGAGAGTTGGCAACCCTGATGCTCGGTCCTTTACTGTTCTCTAGAAGTCTAGACTCTAGATGCTGCAATCCAGGTACACAATACACAGACATTGAATACATTGTATTCAGCTAACTTTAGTTGTATGTATCCTCTATTGTAAAAAAAACAACTTGACAACCTTTGTGAGGGTCTACATGTTGTCATTGAGTGCAAAATTGTAGTTTGAATAAATTACAGTTCCCAATACCTTATCTTTTGTTGTTTTAGTCAAACTTAGTGTCACAACACAGGTTTCTTTGGTCAAATGTCAAATGTTGTTTGGTCAAAGAAACATTATTATCATCTCCCAATTAAAATGAAAATTGACAAAATGTTACTGTCAGCTGTTTGAGTTTAGTTAACAGTGAAAAAAGTAGAACACATTTTTGCTGGATGCTGTCAACAACAAAGCACATCCATCAAAACAAAAAAAAGGCCAGTAGGACAGAAAGACCCCACAACCTCATCATTAATCATTGTAGTACCATCATTTCTATATCAGCTGACCACTTGATCATCCTTCTTATAACTGAATTCATTTTTAAATGTAGTTGGCATGTTGACAAATGTAAAGTGAGATCTATTTGACATGGCAGTACAACTTTCAGCAGGAATTTGACAAACTGACACAAATAAAATCATTGAGAGAGAAGTTGCAGTTCTGGTTGCAGTTGTACTTACTCCAGCCAAAGAAGGGGGGCAGGCTCCACCCTGCGGAGTAGACCCAGGCAGCAGCCAGGATGCACAGGGCTTTCCTGCGAGACATCCCCCCCAGGGAGGCCAGAGGCCGGGTGATCACTACGTACCGATCCACCGCAATCACCATCAGTGTTATCATACTGCAGATACCAAACAGCGCTCCGCAAAAGGCGTATATTTCACAACCTTAAGGAGGAGAGGTGAAAGTCAAGAAGTAGTAGAGAGGAAAGACAATCGTGACAGCAGCAAACAGGATACATCTATTTTCTGGCAGATGATAGCTCTTTAAGAGTTTTGGACACATATGTGTTTCATCATGTCAGAGCAGTAACAGATGTTTTGGTATTCTTTGCTAATTACATAGTACAATGATGCTGCATATAAATTATTGATAATTTTCAACATGCACACAATGCCTAACCAATAAGTTGCAGAAATCAGCATTTTCGGCAAGAAAAAAAACACTCAATAATCATTTGAGTGTGTAATTACCTCTGACCTGACACATTTAATCACGCCATCAAGTCATTACAAGCAAGAAAGAACAAGACAGAATCAGAAGTGTTTTGCATGTGTTAATAAACTAAAACAAATACCGCTCAGGCAGGTTCATGTATATCACAGCCCCTTCATGATCTTCTTTCTGACTGTGTGTGTTTGACAGCCATTGTTAAGTCTCTGACGAAAATAAAGTCCTGTTTGGCCCAGGGAACACCAGGCTTTCTCCAGAGAGAACAACAATTTAATGTCCTACGGCATTTTGTCAAAAAGAAAGTTCACTGCATTTGTGTCTATACTACAGTATAACAAGTGTTTGTAAAACATTTCAGATATTGAAAGGTCCTGCAATGAGCTGCAATTCATTTTAGGAAAAACTAACCAATCATCAACCAGTTTTAATCAGCACATAAAATCCATAGATGAAGAAAATAAAAAAATAATATTTTTGATGAATCTTTCCGCATTTTTGTCCGGTGTTGAGATTTGACGGGCACTTTTTAAATGATGTCCTCTCATGTTCCCTCTTTTTCTGCAACGGCTTAATGGAAGCTGACTGGAGGATTATAGCCACCATAATGTTTATCTCCATGCACCCTACTTCTAATATTTTCGTGCATGGAAATTAGATTACAAGAGTACAACAAATTGCAGTTTGCATCCAACCAGAAGGTGCATAGAGTAGTAAAGTGCATGAGGTAACAATATATGCATACTTTCAACACCTTATTGCTAAAGTGTTCTTGCACGTTAACTCACTCGCTTTATTTCAAATCTCTTAGCGATTTGAAATAGAACCTCTCATAATTACACCACGCTCAAATATTCTATTTCACTCTAAAATACTTCATATTTCAGAAGCTAAGAATGTTATAACTGTCACTCTTTTAACATCTAAATCTCACTGCCTGTGTATCTTTTTAAAAGAATAGGCAGAAGAAAAGGGATTTCAAGGTTGTAGAGAGGTTGGTTAGAAGAAGAAAAGGAAAGAGTTGTCTTTCAGTAACAACCATTGAGAATTGAGCTGCAGATCTGACAGCGGTGAAGGTCAGGACAACTCCTGAAGGAAAACGCTGCGCTCCATCAGTGGATCGCTGTGCTGCTGTTACCACCTCTTCATCTCCATTCCCTCTAGGTTGCATGCCGATGTACTGTATAATGCACCACTGGTACAACATCCTCCAAATGCACTCATAAAACATACAAGCAACATGCATTCTTGCTGGCTTTGTGATCAATGGAATTTTGAGATGCTGCACAAAAGGGTGAAAGAGAATGGCAGATTTGTGTGCAGAATCTCAATTGAATTGCGCGTCACACAATAGGGTACGAAACCAACACATGTTCCTTGTGGAAATCCAGTGTGACCATAAATATAAAAGATGTGTGGATTTGTGTGTACATGTTAAATCATAACACTCGTATTTGTAACTCTGCACGGTATTTCAAAAAGATAAGTGTCAAATGTTAAATGCATTTGTTACCTTTCTTTCCAAAGATCCATCGCTTGTGCATGCTGTTAATGAAGAAGATGGGTGTCTGAGTAACACACATCAGCAAGTCTGTGATTGCCAGGTTAATGATGAAAATGTTGGACGGTGTCCGCAAACTTCGGCTCCTGAACACAGACACACACACAGCTGTGAAGTGGTGCTTAATAAGTCTATACAATAAAATTGTTTACAACAGCAGTAGAAAGCTGTTACCTGCAGAAAGCATATAACCAGGAAGTTCCCAACATGCCCGTGATGCCAATGATCAGGATGACCACACCGATGGTGTAGTGAGCGTGGGAAGGGACGTCTACCGTTGGAAATGGGTGGCTTGTAACCATGGGACCCTGGCAACAGGAAAACGGGGGTTAATTGGTGGCGTTAAATAATGTTATCAAGTCATGATCAAGAGCAATGTCAGTACAAAAACAATTCAGCTTTTATTGCAGTTCTCATAATCTGACAGACGGCACATAATTAAATTAAAAAGGACAATAAAAACGTAAAATAGATATTGAGATGACAAATTGAAATTGTGAATTAGCCACACCATGTACATGTATGGAAGCATATTGTAGCCATGATGATAAATATATATGTCTGATAAGCTCTTTGTTAATACAAGATTGTTATTTATTGTATTCAAACACAATATATTTTCATATTGATTTATTTTCTTGTTATTATTAGAATTTTATAGGACATTTTTCATTTTAATGTTCACATTATTTCACAAGTAAACATTATGGTAGCTAACCCGTACAAACTGTCAATGGAATTTTACCCAAAAATTGTATTAGCTTATTAACAGTTTGAGTGACAGTCGACATTGACAACTTTCTAATCACAGAAGCTGAACAATGCTTGGGTCTCAGCTGTGTGCATCACTTTTTAGTTTCCCTGTTTCCGTTGTGTTTGGAGCTTCTTGCAGTTTTTTATTTATGCAGAGATTTTAGTAAATGCTGCGCATGTTTCGTAAAGTTGGTGAAGATGTTTCTTAATTTGAACACGCGTGTTTGTTTTTATTTATTTGCATCGTTTTTTAAACTGCAGCGCGTTTTTCCAAATGGAAATGTTTTTCCATGTTTACCCCTGTCGGCCACAGTAAAAATAGCTCATGAAAACAAGCTGTTGCTGTTATACCATTTATATTAACCGTTTTTCAACAACTTTTCAACTTAACAGGTGATAATATGACAATGTTGTGCAAACAAAAAGTGGCCACAAATTATTTTATATTGCAGCTTAAATGTTTTTATTTAAGAATTACATTTTTAACAATACATTTCATGTTTTTTTCTGCTTCCATTCATTTGACAGTAGAACAATCCATTTTTTTTACATTTAATTATGGCCTGATGGGTTTATTTACCTTGAATTAATCCTTTAAATTCTGTCTAGAACAAATACAAATACATTCTCATCAATAATTTAATAGTATTTAAGTATAATATGTAAGCTATTAATAAAGCTAGAGTGTACTATTATTATGTTGGAGTGAGTGTTATTATGAGGGTTGCATTTGCAGTTAGATTACTTAAATCAGCATATAATACAAAAGTAATCACTCTAAAGAGTTTATCCTATTTCAATAGCTAAGAAAAGATAGGAGCATTTATTTCACGCTTTATGCTCCAGTAAATTGTAGAGTTCAGAAGGTCATAAAGAGATTGACTTCTTGCAGTGGCGTAACTATTAACGGTGCAGCCGGTGGCACCGGCTGCCAATGCAAAAATAAATAAATAAATAAATGTCTGTCCAATGACCTTGCTCCCTTTCATGTCATGTGATACCTTGCATGACGAGCGAACCGTTGAATCAACCTGTACTGAACTGTACGGACAGACGTGCAATAGATGCCGTGTGTAAATCGAAGAGATAATACATTTTACAGCATATAGACCGAATGTTAGGAAACGCATGTGTCTGTAAATAAGAAGATGAATCCACGAGGATGTCAGCTACAGCATATCAAACTTGTATTCAAAAGGTATGCTGCAGTTTATGAAAACTAGAAGAGCTTTGGAACAATGCTTATGAGTAGGTCAATAGTCCAAATTGTTAAAGGTCCCATGTCATGGCCATTTCTACTGATCATAATTCCATTGTTGAGGTCTACTAGAATAGATTTACATTGTGCAATTTTCCAAAATCACATTGGTTTCTCAAACAGCATGTCTGTATAGTATGTGTATTCACTCTCTGTCCTAAACGGCTTGTTGGAGCTCCTGCCCCCCCCCCCCTCCCTATGAGCCCACTGTGCTCTGATTGGTCAGCTCGCCCACTCTGTTCTGATGAGTCCACCACCGTTACAGCGGAACATCAGTGATTATGTGTCACAATGGCGTTAGCAACCAGAAAATGACACCAGTAATGACAAACAGATGAGAATGCTGCGTGGGGTCTGGGTGCCGTGTTGGCAGGACGTTGCGAGGCTTGCTGCTGTGAGAAGCGGACAGTGTGAGCTGGGTTACTGGTGTCATTTCCTGGTTGCAGCGAGACATTGCGAATGGACGTGGGAAGGGGGGGTTGCTGAGGGGGCTGCAGCACCCCCATCTGCGAGGCTCCACTATTTCTAAAATGTAGAAATGGAAGCACTCTAGTAAATGCCCAAGAAAGCATAAATAAACTAATTAATTCCAATGTTTCTTGTAGCTCCCTAAAAACAAACTTTATATAATAGATTGTTAACATAAATAACAATCTTGCAAGCAGAATTTTGCCTCTGAGAAGCTCAGTGCACCTCAGAGCACACAGCTCCACAATTTATTTCGCCAGGACTATACACTAAATCTTCCTTAGTTCAACTGGAACACACACACACATCTCATCTTATTAATCCTGTCAGCCACATGAGCGTGTGTGTGTGTGTTTGTCTGCACATGTGCCTTAAGGGGTCCAGCATCTGCTTCAGCACTACAACTATTCTGCGGAGTCACAAGCATCTGAAAAGGAAGGACATTAAAATAGAGGTTATGTAAGTGAGTGAAAAGGTCCTGGGGGGTGAGTTACTGAAAGAGGGGGCAGTGAGTTCAGGTGATATGCAGTCGTGTTGTGTGTGTGTGTGTGTGTATGTTTGGTATGAAGTTGTTAAAGAAAGATTCTTCTTCTCACATCCCTGACACCCTCCCTGCTGGATATCTTTCTCATCTCCGCTATCGCTGCTGATGGAAGATCTTTGTTAATTCCCTCATTCACGGCAGTTCCGCTGTTTCCTAAATCTTTTTTTCGATCACTCCTGTACTTCCTCTTGCTTCATCTCATTTCCTCCAGCAGCTCGTGGCCAGATAAATGTGATCACACGGTGAGGAGGAAAGAGCAGCGGGGAATTCTCCTCTAAAGTTTGTTTGTCTGGGACTTAAAAATGGAATTATTGGATGGTGACATCTTTCTGCACTCATTAGCGTACTGAAGCATTTCTGGCTTTCCCTACATCAGTCAAGAGCAATTAAAATACATTGAAATGGTCTTAGCTATGCACAGCTATTTAAAACCGGCAGGGATAAATAACTGAGTGAGGAAGAAGACAAGGATTAGGGATAGAAGAAAGAGGGAGAGACATAGGGGAAAAGAGGAGAGGCTGGGAATTAAATATCCAATGTAAGAAAATAATCTGTAGAAGAAAACACATGCATGTAAATACAAGCATAAGAAGCTGTGCACACGTGTTTGACGTTTACAACATACTGTAATCTACTTGGCAATTATGTGCACATCACTCTGTAACAGCCAACACTAACTTAGTGAACGTGAACGCTTCCTCTGAATAAAAGGACGTCATGCTCATAATCATGGTAATTGATCATTTACAGCAGAGGAAATACATTTTCATTAGGAACATGTCACTCAGGCATCATATGACCACCACAGGATAATGTGACTCAGTTTAACAGTAGATTAAAGGCTTCACTTTAAAAGGTGATGATTCAATATTGTATTATAGGCATTGGAAAATCTGAACTGTGATTGGCTGGCAGGATTCCATTAACTACTTTTAACCAAACACTTATTCCATACACCCCTGACAGGTATTTGCTTTCTGTTTTAAATATCTTCAGGGTATTTTTCTTTGTGTCTTCTATAACAATCATCTAACTTGATCAGGGATAATTCCTCACTCATCATTTACTGTCTCTCAGTGGATGCCTATAATTGTACTTTTAAACAATTTATCCATCTAAAATAAAGTTGTTCTTCTTTTAGTTGTTTTACATAAAATGTTGTCTGATGTAATGTGTATCTGTGGAACTAAAACCTGATGCTGCATACATTCGTCATATCTTGAAATCAATCAATTATGGGAAGATATTGATTTCCATCATGTTGGCCGCAGTGCTTAAATATGTATAACATGATGGAGGAGGATACATTTAAACAAACTGGCTTATCTTTTGGTCCAACCCTGTTGCCTACAAATTATGCTCGCAATACAACTAAACTGCAATTTGAATAAAACGTCGTTTCTGTAATCAAAACAAAACCAAAATGGTTATGTTTGGGCAACAACATTTATTTTAACGTTTGGTAAATATCCTGATTTAAAATACTTTAAATGTTAAAATGTTGTATTCCTCCGTGGTGAAATTATTTGTATTTGTTTGACCCCTACATCCATCCATCCTGACCTCATACCTAGACTGTAATTAAAAACTTATCGTATGATACATTGAAAAAAAAGGTAATCTGGAAGAGAATACCTTTTTCTCTAAATGTAATTAACAGCGCAGTTTCGTTGTCTATAGGATTGTCATTTTGGTTCTCAAGTGACAAATAGCAGGACAGCACACAGACACACTACACACATACGCACTCATACATTAGACCCATATTTTTGTTAATGATGCAGAGATGGTAGATTCAGTAGATGAAAACAGTGGTAAAAGGAAAAGAGGGCTCTAGAAATCCCAGAAAGAGTTTTTTTAAATGAAAACCACTTATAGTAGAGTATAAGAACCCATCGCTCTCTGTAGAAGCTGCCCGCAGGCACTGCTTTAGTATTAGCTTTCCCAGCGCTCCCACCATGAAGGCCATGGAAAAGCAGCTGAGACTAAAGTCTGCAGCTCTGAACTTCAAAGTTCAAACACACCCACTTGCTTCTCCTGTGTATTTCAAACAGCTGCTTCTCTCTCAAATCTACCCTGCAGCAAAATGAATGCACTGCGCTTCATTTCATGCTTCACATAGTGCAGAGGTAGACACACCACTGTGTTGGTTCACAGATCTGGATAAAAAGGATTTCCCTGAAGGCTATGCATGTTTTTGTCCCAATGGCAGTCACACACAGAGGGAGATAAAGAGAGATAGTGTCATTCACTTATGAGACTTGGTAATGAAAAACATTATAAACACGTCTTCAACCTTCATGGCATATCATATCACAGATGGCATGATTACACCATCGAATTTAAATAAAATATTTTGTAATTTACAACCAAAACTTAAAATCACCATCCAAAACACAGATATTGATGTGTTATGCTGCTTTGCTGCAAACTACATTTCCTCTTTTGAAGACTCAAAGGTCTGAACTGAGGCTAACCTGAGTGATAATTAGGATTAGTACATGTACAGGTCTATATGAAAGTATGGGGATTTAATGGGATGGTAACGCATTTTACTTTAACACTTAAGTCACGTTTGTGCACAAACATGTCATCTGAATGAAATCCCGACTGGATAATAAGGTCCTTAAACACACCGCAAATTCAGAAAAGTGTGAGCAATCAATAGGCCTATCGTGCGCACAGATGTTGGTACCAGAAACACGATACGCACTTTTACCACAGACACACATATATACAGCTCACTCACAACAGCTTTTTAAAACATTTTGTAGACAACTAGATGGAGAGTGGAGCAATGCAGGTGACGGGACTGGTGGTGAATGAACGGAGCGCAGATGCAGGTGTGACTTATTCATTCACACAGATCTCATCACACCTCCCTTGTGCACTAATGCTCAAATATCTTGGGAAGAACTAAACAAAAACATTAACTAGTGAGTTTGTTTTAGCAGTTCTGGACCGGTCCTCTCCGCGGTTACGCACCGAAGCTCTTCACTTAGATGTAGGGGAATGCCTTCCTCTAAGCAGCCGAAAATAAAACAATCATATCAAAGAAGCGTGGAGCCGAGTACTCACAGCGGTGGTGACAGCAGACAGCTCCAGGAGCCGGTGCGGGCTGATGGAGCTGATGTTCCAGGGCTCCCGGGCGGTCGGGTCCGGTGTGGGGACCCCCGGTCCAATCAGGAGCCTGGAATCCATTCCTGGTCCACAGTGGTAAATGGAAAGAGGCTGAGAGGTGGACCGGCGAGGTGTCTGGTCTCTGTGAGGTGGTCTAGCAGCCCGAGAAGCCGGTCATCATAGCTGCCCTGCGCTCACATCGCACTCTGACAGGGCTTCTGGGAGTACAGCATGCAGCTTTGGAGAGGGGGGGGGGGGGGGGGGGGGGGGGGAAGTGCTCTCCGTCTCTGGTCCAATCCCTGCTCCGATTGCCTTTGAGTGTGTCAGTAGGTCTGTGCGTGTGCGAGCATGTGCACTGTAACATATTACCATGATTTCACAATATTTAGCTGTAATATCCTCCTGGGACCCAGCGCACTGTAGTGGACATTTAGTTAACCTCCTTTTACTCTTTTGAGCTGTCAATCCCTGATGTGCTGTACAGAGGACATCCTGGTCTTTCCAGTGATATGTCATTGGTTAAAATTGCATGCTGGGTTCCTCTTTCTTTTCATCCAAAATGGCTGGCATACGAAAAACAAAATTGAATGAAGCAGGAGGAGAAGTCAAATATTGTTGAATAATTGTAATTTTTACCATGAAAATCATATTATTATTGTTTATTAACATGTGAGGAACTATATAATTAGTTCTGAAAGCAATTAAATAATTCAAGTTTTCAAATAACAGCCCTTTTATAAATGTCCATTCTAGTGGACGTCAGGACTATCTTCATGGACTTTATGACTCAATATTGTTGCAGGAGACGGAACTGAAGCAGACATTTTCTGTACCAGATAGTTCAGGGAGATTAAGATTTAGAGCTCTCAGATGATGAGAGAGATGATCGGCTTTCACACCTGGGATAGAAGAGGGTCAAGAAGAAGGGGGGGGGGGGGGGATGCAGGAGGCTCCATGAGCGCACAGATATATACATAGAAACAGATATGGACGAGCTGGAAAGACATGTCCCTCTGTGGGCCAAGAGTAGCACGTATGTCTTATTGTTGTTTTTATTTTAAGTGGAGCCATGAAAAATGAGAATGCAAGCTTTGTTTCTATGAGCATGGTCAAATGGAGACCACATCCATACAACTAGTCAAGATGACCCTACAGCCCGTGCTGACTGGAGTCAATGAGGTACTTTCCCACATTGACTACGCTGATAAAATGATTTTTTTTTGTCCTGTAAATATTACTTAGATTATGTGTTTTACTTCTACAAGAAATTACTAATTTAGTGCTTTAACTCAAAATGTCTCCTTTTATTTAATGTGTTACTTGCATTTTGCATGTAATTTTGTATCATCATTGTGTTAAGTACATTTTAACCATAGAACCAAGTAAATATTACCTAAAGTATTGTGTTGATTGTAAAACGGTTAAAAGCTAATAAAATGTACCTTGGCAATTTAAGTGAAGGTGGGTTACGCCCTATGACGTCAGAGTAGTTGCACACGGTACAGAGATTCGGGAGAAGAGGACAATTTACTGAGTGGAAGATGGCATGGATGGACCCTCCGCTAATGTGTTGAATAATCGTGGATTTTGAGTCATGTGAGTATATTTATGCGCTTGGTTATCTGGTTACATTCATGTGATCTTGTCAGCTGAATGCAGATATTAAAAACGTACATTAAGCTGACTGACTGGTCAGCTCGTTAGCATGCTAGCTAACTCAGCACGTGGGATAAATCAGATATCAAGGTGTGGGTTAGTTTTTAGTGGGTTATTTATTATGTAAACTCCGTTTCTAATACGCAAGAAGACTGCAAAATGCGTCTATGATTATTTTTCGATCTTTCGAATCCAGACGAGTTATCTCTCCCCCGCCATTACACACACGCGGCTGCTACATGCAGCAACACATACACGGAGGAGATGGCGGAGAGAACGCGCTCCGAGGTGTGGACAACTCGTTGCATGGATTTCACAGTAATTTACTGTAAATATTTATGGTAATTGACTAAATATTTCACAGTAATTTACTGTATATATTTTACAGTTAATTAGAATAAAAGTACAACTAAATACTGTGACTTTACAGATGCCATGCTGTACATAAATTACAGTAATTACCTGTATGTTCACACTATTACTGTAGAAGTAATGCAACACAGTAGCCAGTAATTTACTGTAAATATACAAATCTAAATAATACGATAATATATTGTAAATTTGACTGGAATTGTACCATAACTACACAATTCAATCAGCTCAATCAACAAAGAAAAACAAAGAAAATGCCCATTTTAACTTTTTATTACTCCATTGAAGTGCAAAGTACATTTCACAGTGTCTTGGAAATGTTGTTACGGCCCCAACCTCTACTCCGCGGTAGTTGCTTGTGCTGAGACCCGCAACATGAAAGAATACACGCAATAACCGGTACTTGGTAACGAGCATTTATTGATAATCAGCCGTTTGCTCACACAAGCGAAACGGGAAACAAAAAGAGGTCTGGAGGACTGGCCAAAAGGAACAAACAGAAGGAGGGAACCCGAGCCAGCCACACCACGGGCCGTAGGACCCAGAACTCCCCCGCCTAACCAAAAATCAAATATAAACCCTATGGGAAACAAAATAAAGCCGCAAAAACTGGACTACCAGGTCCTCCAGGCTAAACATAAACATATCTGCAAAAATATGGCCTACAGCTCAGAATGGCAAAGAGGTATTCTAAGGACAGTGTCTCCGGCGTTAGGATAGACGAGACATCCTTCTCCTCCAGCTTCTCTTTATATATACACACGGCTGAGTGGAATTTGGAACACCTGGGCAGAGGCGGAGCCAGGGGCAGACCAGGTGCACCTGGGCAGAGGCGGAGCCAGGGAGACAGAAAACAAGGAGGAGAGCACTTAACACATGTCTACACAACACAACATCCACTCAAAGTAAAAAAAAATCTGAAGAATGTGCTGACATGGGGGTTTAAATTGCCATGCCTCTTTTTGGCTTTCGAGTCCGTCTCAGGATTAATGCCCAGGATGCACCTGAAAACACTAAGCCAAGACAACAATTTCAATTTTACATAGATGTATATGTTGCCTCATTTATTTTAAGGCACATGCAGTGGTGCCCCTTTCAATTTAAGTAAAACCTGCACCAAAGAAAGAAATTAGTATTTAAAGCCAAGCAAGAGCGATAAAAGCAAGAAAATCACTTAATTTGTTGTGTTATCACAGAGGATGGTCTGAATACAGTATTTTACTATGAAATAATACAGTAACATGTTGTGAAATCCTGGTAATCATTTATCCTGTACATTCACAGTAATTAACTGTGCCTGTATTGATTTCACTGTGAAATTCTAAATTACAGTGTTATATTGTGAACATTACAGGTAAAGACTGTAAAGTGGTAAAACAGTAATTTATTGTAAAATATTACAGCTAAATATTGTGAAATCATGGTAATATTTTACAGTGTAGCATATACCATAGTATAGCAGTAAAAAATGGCTACAATTCTAAGAATACGACCCTCAAAATTGTCTTTTGATTAAATGGATTAAAATCTGCCATCAAAGTTTTAGGCTTGGGGGCAGGGTAAAACAACTGTTAACAAAACACTGATGTTATCAACTTGATATGGCAATTGTAGCCAACCATCTAATTAAAATAAAACTACAATTCAAGTATTTGCGCTCTTTGTTTTTATTCTGTACCCTGTTCTGAGATAAATCAATCTGGCTAATTCGCTGCTAAATGTTACATTGTTTTCAATTGCAGCTATTTCTGTCCGTCTGCCGTTTAGTACTGAGCAAAACCGATGCAACAAGAGCAATGAGCATAAAGGGAAAACAGCACATTTTGGGGCTGGAAAGCTGAAAGGTGTTATCTTCATAAAGCTGGGGGGTCACCGTTAATGAACCCAAGTGGAGGTGTGATCCATTGTTCATATTTAAAAAACGGTTAATTGACAGCTAAAACAATCGAGGAGCATTAAGAAATGTAACTACTTAAAAATGTACCTCACTTTCTCCTTAAAAAGAGATGTATGAATGAATGCACAACTTCATGCTAACATTTATAGAGTTTTTGCTTGTGACTCTCACTACTGTGTGAACAATGAAGCATGACTTCCACCTACTGTACACAAGAAGACATTTAGCCGAGAGCGCTCTACTTGGGAACAGAGGCAACGGCAGATAAGCCCAATGATAGATTGGAAATATGTTGACATGTTGAGGAGTATAACCATCTTTCAGTTTGTGTTCTTCTGGGAGGAGCAAGGTCTTATGAGGCCTCGCTTTTATGATCATTCTCCTCACTCTGTTTGCATTAGGGCTTGCATTTGGTTTTTGCAAACTAAGACCTACTAACCTTTGCCCCCATAACCCATTTCACTGTTTTGATAACGCCCTATTCTGTCATCTTCTGTTTTCAACAAAAATATGTTGCTAAAGCTCTCAAATTCAGTTGAATGCTCATACAGCATAACACCTTTAAACTGGACCAACTTTTTTTTCTTTTTTTTTTGTATTAGTCAATTTATTGAACATGTCAGAAACAAAAACATACAACAATAATATATATATATATAAATTCTCTTTTTCCTTTTTTTCTCACTTAACCCACCTCTGGAATGCTAAATGTTGAGATGAGGAAACTCTTGGAGACAGCAGACTAAATCAAACCCGGTAGGACTTTAGTTTTTGGCCTGCAGAAAGATTTGATTGGTTGTGGGAAAGGTGAGTGAAAGAGTATCCATCGCCGTTTCCAGGCTTGACCCCTGTGCGCTGAAGGTCACCATGCTCTCTGCACATCTGCCTCTCTCAAAGCACCGCACTAAATCATTTACTTACGCCGCTTCCAAATATCCACACAAACAATCCATGTGCATTTAGGGTTGCAACATGTGTAAACATTTAACTTCTATCCCCTTCTCACAGAACCCCTATCAAACAAACAACATCCTTCCTGCACTGGTGTTGTGTATTTCGATTTTATGTGTACAGTATTTTCTGTGTGTGTTTGTGTTGCAACACTAACCTCTCGGAGCTGCATGACCAACAGAATAACATGGTCCCATGACGGAGACTTCTGGCTGATGTTAAGAGGATCAGAATCTGGGTATGGACTTACACAAAAGTAACATTGTATAGACAGGGAAGTGCT